TCTGAAGTCACATCTGGGCTAACAGCGAGGGTTACTGTGATCAGTGCCGACTGCCCAGGGTAGGGGGATGGCGGCAGTTCCTGGAGAAGCGGGCCTTCAGTAAACGGGATTATTGAAGATTTGGCCCCTGGAAATGCGACTGCCTTGCCCTGGCCACCAGCCCCAGTGGAGTTTCTCCCTTTCCCTGTGTTTTACACAACTAAACAGCGAGTTCTTTCCTGCCGTTTCTCTCAGGCCCAGCTAATTATGTTTGGGCAGACTTGATTTTGGCAAGAAGGGGGTAATTCCTTCCACACTTACCAAACGCAGGGCTGCTGTTTCCAGCTAGGCCCGGCCGAATCCCACTTGGCCAGGGGTCTGGGCTGTGCTGGGGCCTGGGCACATCAGCTCACATGCACGGCTGCAGGGCCAGGCATCAGGGCAGGGAAAGTGGAATGAATCATACCCAGTCCTCCCACCTTCGCTCACTCTGACCGCAGGCAGCTGAGCTGTAACTGGCTGGGTCAGGACTTGCCAGGCCTTGAAGGATGATGAAGGCAGAGGATAGGGTGTTGTTTCAGGAGGAGTGTTTAGCTTTGGCTTTTATTTATGGAGCTCTTCCTGTGCCCCTGGCTGGACCAGAAGTTAGTATCTTATCTCTGTAATCCTCTTTAAAAAAATATATCTATATCTATCTACTATCTATCTATCTATCTATATATTGATTTCAGAAAGGAAGGGAGAGGGAGAGAGAGCTAGAAACATCAGTGAGAATCATTGATCGGCTGCCTCCTGCAGGCCCCACACTGGGGATGAGCCCGAAAGCCAGGCATATGCCCTGGCCAGGAATCGAAGTGTGACCTCTTGGTTATAGGTTAATGCTCAGCCACTGAGCCACGCCAGCCAGGCTCTCAGCAGTCCTCTTAATGAGCCTGTTTTAGTTCCATTGTATAGGTCAGGAAACTGAGGCTCAGTGAGGTCAAAGCTAAGGCCGTGCAGCTGGTAAATTGCTGAGCTGGGGTTGGAGCCCACATGTGCCCAGCTGCAAGGCCGAGAGGTCTTTCGAGGTCTTCTTGTTACAACACAGCTACTCCCCCGCCCCCCCCAGTCTCCCACACACACATCCTATTCAAAACATGTTTTGTTTTAACCCCTTTGTGTGATACAAAGACATACAAGGAGTAATGGAGAGGCACGAAGTACCTTTTGGCCAGGATAGAGAACAGGTGCAACTAGAACATCTGCTCTGTGAGGGCAAATGGGGGTGTCATCCTTTTGGTTCACTACTGGATGCCCAGTGCCTTAGACCAGAGTCTGACACCCAGTAGACCCACAGGAAACATTTGTAAAATAGATGAATAAGGTTCACAAGTCACTGGCCGTGGCCAGATTCTAAATGTCCTTCCTTGAATGTTGTGGTTAGATATTGATGTGCCAGCGTCTGAAGACATTCAGGCTCTCCGGTGTGTTCCACGGCCCACCGGTGGAGGGTCCAGAGTGTAATCAGTGCCTGCCTGACGTGTGGCAGCATCGTGATGACCAACCAAGGTCTTCTCACCCAGTCCCACGCCCCCTCGCACTCGCACCCCACGCGTGGAGATGGCTGTGTCCCAGCTCTGCCCCTACAGCCGGATGTCACCCCTGTGGCTCCTCTTTTAGACTTAAGAACAGTGGTTGTCCTCTCCAACAGGGCAGTGTCCGCAGACTTTGTCACAATGATTTCTCCATTTTTTTAAATTTTCTTTTTTTTTTTTTTTTTTGGTGCCCATGACCAGAATCAAACCTGGGACCCTTGAGTCCACAGGCCAACGTTCTATCTACTGAGCCAAACCAGTCAGGGCCATTTTTTTAATTTTCGTTTTGGGAACTAGCTGTTGAGGCTTCAGATGACTGGACCTCCAGAGATGGAAGGGTGGACATCACTGTTACGAAAGGATCATTCTGAAGGCTCAGACAAGTCCCGAGTGAGCCCTAGGTGTTCTCAGAAATCCTAGTGAGGAGAACGACAGATACTCGGGTCAGCTGCTGTCCACTCCTGTGAATGCCTCGCTCACTGCCATTGCGGTCTGATCAGGTGGGTTTTGCTCACTGAGTCCTTCTCTACCTCAGGGGTTCCAGCTGCCGAAGCCACCAGAGCCCCCTTCTGTTGAGGTGGAGTACTACACCATTGCCGAATTCCAGTCCTGCATTTCTGACGGGATCAGCTTTCGGGGTGGACAGAAGGCGGAGGTGAGCCTTGGGCCCTGAGGCTGAGGGTTTTCACTCAGGTCAGAGGCCTGCCGCGTTGCCCTTCTCTGTCTTCCTGGCAAGCAGGGACGGTGCGGAAACAAGGCTAGTAAGTGCCACAGTCAGGACTAGAACCCAGGACTCGTGTCTCCGCCCAGTGCAGTGAAATGACCACAGGCAGTGGGACAGCTCGGCTGTGCTCTGTAGGGAGGCTCTGGCCTCAGGCCATATCCCAGTTCAACTCACCTGCATCTTCCCATTCTCTTCCGACCTGAGGAACCCTTTCCAGGGTCACCCAGGGAAGACCTAGCAATATCGGAGGTGGGAGGAGGATGGGAGTGGTGGAATGGTAGTTCTTTTTATACATATGGGTCCTTGGCGATTTGGTTTTGTTGGGACTGGGTACAGTGCCTCTTCTAAGTGCAGTAACTTAGGGGAAGAAGGAACAGGGGTCTGAGAGGGGGCCAGCCCGACCAGCGTGTTGAGAGGCTCGGAGGGCCAGGGGAGAGCGACCTGAACAGCAGGATCCCCCCAGCTAGGAGATGATAGAGATCTGGGTTTGAATTCCGACCCATCGCTCACTACATTGGGCCCTGGACCACTTTCTCGGTGGCTCACCTGTAAATGGAGATAATGTCTCCTAGAGCCACAGTATGAATGAAGCTCCTAGCTAGCTCATCACAGGGTCCCAGTGATCCTCCCAACTCACTGGCCTGCCCGCCCCTTCCCCCTAGGTCATCGACAAAAACTCGGGCGGCTGGTGGTACGTGCAGATCGGCGAGAAGGAGGGCTGGGCCCCCGCGTCCTACATCGATAAGCGCAAGAAGCCCAACCTGAGCCGCCGCACGAGCACCCTGACCCGGCCCAAGGTCCCCCCGCCGGCGCCCCCCAGCAAGCCCAAGGAGGCTGAGGAGGGTCCGGCAGGCACCGCCGAGAGCCAGGACTCCCCGCTGAAGCTCAAGTACGAAGAGCCCGAGTATGACATCCCTGCCTTTGGCTTCGACTCCGAGCCAGAGCTGAGTGAGGAGCCCACGGAGGACAGAGGCTCGGGGGACAAGCGGCTGGCCCAGCCCCCCAGGCCCTCGCCGGCCTCCTCCCTGCAGCGGGCCCGCTTCAAGGTGGGCGGGTCCTCAGAGGACGTGGCCCTGGAAGAGGAGACCATCTATGAGAACGAGGGCTTCCGGCCCTGTGCAGAGGACACCCTGTCAGCTAGACGGTCCTCCCGGGACAGTGACTCCCCTGGAGGCTCCCCACTGTCCCTTGCCAGGAAAAACTCCCCCAAATCAGACTCCCCCAAATCGTCCTCGCTCCTAAAGCTCAAGGCAGAGAAAAACGCCCAGGCGGAACTGGGGAAGAACCACTCCTCGGCCTCCTTTTCCTCGTCCATCACCATCAACACCACCTGCTCCTCCTCCTCCTCCTCCTCTTCCTCCCTGTCCAAGCCCAGCAGCGACCTGAAGCCCCGTTCTGCCTCGGACGCAGGCATCCGCGGCACCCCCAAGGTCGGAGCGAAGAAGGACGCTGACCTGAAGGCCGGGCTGACCTCCTGTGCTCGGGCCAAGCCATCTGTCCGGCCCAAGCCATTCCTGAGCAGAGCGGAGTCCCAGAGCCAAGAGAAGATGGACATCAGCACTTTACGGCGCCAGCTGAGACCCACAGGCCAGCTCCGGGGAGGCCTCAAGGGCTCCAAGAGTGAGGACTCAGAGCTGCCCCCCCAGACAGCCTCCGAGGGTCCCAATGAAGGGTCCAGGAGAGGCTCGGCTGACCTCATCACCCTCCCGGCTGCCACGCCCCCATGTCCCACCAAGAAGGGGCGGGAAGGGCAGGCCACCTCCTACGTGACGTGTAGTGCCTACCAGAAGGTCCAGGACTCGGAGATCAGTTTCCCTGCCGGTGTGGAGGTGCAGGTGCTCGAGAAATTGGAAAGCGGCTGGTGGTATGTGAGGTTTGGGGAGTTGGAGGGCTGGGCCCCTTCCCACTACTTGGTGCTGGGTGAGAATGAGCCACCTGACCCCTCTGGCAAAGAGCCCGACGCCGTTACCGCCAAGAGCAAGCAGAAGGAGGGCAAGTCGGACAGCCTGGAGAAGATTGAGAAGCGGGTCCAAGCGCTGAATACCGTCAACCAGAGCAAGAGGGCCACGCCGCCCATCCCTTCCAAGCCTCCCGGGGGCTTCAGCAAGACCTCGGGTGCTGGGGTGGTGAAGATGAGGAATGGGGTTCGGCAGGTGGCGGTGAGGCCCCAGTCGGTGTTCGTGTCCCCACCACCCAAGGACAACAACCTGTCCTGCGCCCTCCGGAGGAACGAGTCGCTCACAGCCACCGACGGCCTCCGAGGCGTCCGCCGTAACTCCTCCTTCAGCACCGCCCGCTCCGCGGCTGCAGAGGCCAAGGGCCGCCTGGCCGAGCGGGCCGCCAGCCAGGGCTCAGACAGCCCTCTGCTGCCCACCCAGCGCAATGGTATCCCCGTGTCCCCCGTGCGCCCCAAGCCTATCGAGAAGTCCCAGTTCATCCACAACAACCTCAAAGATGTGTATGTGTCGATCGCAGACTACGAGGGGGACGAGGAGACGGCGGGCTTCCAGGAGGGTGTGTCCATGGAGGTCCTGGAGAGGAACCCCAATGGCTGGTGGTACTGCCAGATCCTAGACGGGGTGAAGCCCTTCAAAGGCTGGGTGCCCTCCAACTACCTGGAGAAAAAGAACTAACGGGGCACGGGTCCTTCAGCCTGAGTGTGGATGAGTGGTGAGATGAAGACAATAGGGAGGGGGGAGGGGAAGGGGGTGGGGTGGGGGGAGGACAACATTAAACCCTGCAGAAGGTGTGACCTCAAGGACACTCCCCTCCAGGCTGTCCCTGGCTGGAAGGGAGGTTCTGGTGGGGGCCACCTTGAGCAGGAGGCCTGAGACCAGATGTGAGACAGCTGAGCCCCATGTGTGCCCCTTGTGACTTCACTGATGGGCTCAGCACCACCTGGGGACAGGCCAATGGGAAGCCTTGGCTGCAAATCTGGAAAGGATGTGGTCCTAGAGGCCTCCGTGCCCTGCCCCAGCCTAGCCCGGTTCCAGTTGCTGGCAGCTTGTCGCCAGGGGTGGCCCGGGTGTCATCCTCACCCTAACGGCGAATTGTGCTGGTCTCCCAGGGACTGCCGCCGCCCAGCACGGGTGGTGTGGTAGAAGACACCTCTGGCTTTGGGGCTTGGAGGCATCTCCTGTGAGCTCAGCCTGTCCCTGGCCAGGCCACTGTCCATGTCTGTTAGTTGCAGAAAAAGCAGTTCCCCGGGTGCCAGCAAGGATCACCTTCCTTCGCTGTCACTGACCTTGAGAAGAGTGCCCGGGCGCCCGTGGAGACCCACCAGCCCGATTTACGGAGGATGGGCAGCGCCGGGGTCTCTGTCTGCACAGACTTTATTTTGGATATTTCTGGGTGGGCAGTTTCTTTGCATGTTTTGGGAGAGGTTTATTGATTTGGGGCTTCTCGGTTGGGCCCTGGGTTTTGGTCTTATTTTAGGGGTTGTTTGGGGGCCTCAGGACGGTCAGCCTCACAGGGGACGGGAGGGGGGTGGGTGGGCTTTTCTGTTAGACTCTTGTGGGAGGTGGGTTGTTGTTTGTGTTTCACATGTTCCCCTCCACAAGCTGGAGTCGTTTCGTTTGGTTTCCACTGTGTGGACAGTGCCTGAGGGGTTGGGGGCGGAGAAGCCCCCCCACTCCCAGACCGCGAGGCACCCACCTTCTGGTGCGAGCCCAGCCCAGGAGGGAGGAGGGTCTCGTTCAGGAGCGAAGGCGGCTCTTGGCTGCTGGGCGACCGCCATTCTGTGTACAGTCTCCCACCTGGCAGGACCGAAAGCCTGAGGGGACCCCCCAACTGGGCCCCCGGGCCAGACTGGAGCAAACACCACCAGCCTGCCGGCGATGCCACAGGGACCAAGGAGGTGGAGGACCCCAGACCAGGAGCTGACCTGGTCGTTCCGAGGGGCAGTGCCCCCGAGAAGAGAGAAGCGAGAGAATAAAGTCCCTGTCGACTTCGGGTCTTTCGATCATTGACATTTCGGAGGGGACCCTCCAGAAGCCAGCGGCTTCCCGAGGACTCACCCTTTGCTGGGAGTGGATTTCCACACGTGCCTTTGACTTCGGACAGGTCAGGCGTCACAGCCGCCGATTCAGCTGCCAGAATCCTGGACAAGGGTTGGTGTTCTCTCTCTCCACCTGCTTCCCACCCAGGACGGAGATGTTGCCTGAAGGTGAGCATGGGACCCAGGTCTTGTGCCTTCCGTGCCCCATGCGCCCCCTCCTGACCGTCCTCCCTCCCGTACACTGAAGCCTGGCAGCTATAGCAAACTGCTCCTGTTCTCTGTTAAAGGGCCGTGGTGAGATTTTGTTTCCTTTTGTTTTGTTTGTGAGTTTGTTTAAAATGGAAATTAGTTATTTTCTTCTGCTGGACAGTATTAAATAGAGCAGGATGTTGAGTTAATCTGCTAGATTGCAGTACTAATGGTAGTGGTTTAGTGTTTTCATATTAATATTATTTGGACTTATTTGAACAATAATGATAAAGAAGTGGTTCATTATTTTTTAATTAATGCACTTTAATAAGGTGGAATGGAAAGAAACCCAGAGAGCAAAGTGCATTACTTAAAGATGCAGTATATACTTTTCTCATTTTTAAGCAGCACATATTTATTGAAAGAAAAAAAGTAATTTATGATTATTTAAAATAAAATTTAAAAGTAGAGTGACTGTCGGGTTAAAGGACCTTCCACGTAGCTATCTTCCAGGGGGAGGGCCCCAGCGGCCTCACTCCTCAGATGTCTGCACTGAGCCAGTTCAATCACAACGTGACAGCCAGGCCAGGAAGGAGTGCAGGACGCATCTGCCAAGCACAGAGCATCTCAGTTGGACTGGACCACAGTGCTCCCCGGAGCCTGCCTTCCCCTGCCCTTCCTCACGGTCTGGACTGCCCTGTGGGGCTCTCTACCACCGCCAGGGCCCGCATTCCCCTGCCCCTCCAGGGCCCTCTATCCTTGATCCCCAGTGCTCTAAGTGATGGTCATTAAAAGTGACCTCAAAGGTCACTCCATCCCATCCCCTCCCGTTATCGCAGCCCAAGGACAGGAAATGACTCCCAAAATCACACGGCTAAGTTTACTGGCAGACCTCCCCACGGCATCCATCCTGGCACTCCTACCCACCCCCCTTCGAGCTTATTGTGCGGTGGTCATGTTTACATTGGGACATCCAGCCCCGAGGGTGGCTGGGAGTTGCTCAGGCATCCAGGGGAAGTGGGGAGTGCTGCCACCTGGTGACAGCATGGAGATGTGGGCAGTGAACAGGGATTGCCATGTCCCATCTTTGCCCCTTGCCCCTCACCACCACCCCCTTAATTCACAGCACAGCACAAGCCCTGCAAACCGAAAGAGAGTATTAATACTTGAAGCAAAAAAGGGTGCATGCCAGTCCCTCTCAGACATGGCTAGGCGATGCCAGGCCTTGTGCCCCTGGACCCCTAGCCCTACCCAGGGCAAGAGGGCCTTTCCCTAGAGCTACTGAGCTGCTTTGTGATGTTGGAGGTACTGCTGGCGGCAGGTGGAGGAGGGAGGGGCCTGGGGCTCTGACCCATCTGGAGGAAAACCAGATCGGCCTAAAAAAAAGGAAAAAGAAAAATGAAATCTCAGCAGTGTCCAAACCTAGTTTTCCATTAGTTACGATTGAAAATGTGAACTGACATTGTGTGGCTGTATACTGCAACTTTAACCATAATGAGCCCTTCTGAGGTCATTATTGAGGTTTATATAATGCCTGAAGATGCATCATTGGTGCTTTTTCTTTGTTGAAAGACTTTTTCTTTTATTACAAGGGGGAAAAAATGTCTTCATCTCTCTCCCACTTTTTATAACAGCGGGCCTGGCTGGGCTTCCTGGCCCTGCCATTGCTGTTTCCACTAGGCCAAGGGACCACAGGGGCAGCAAGAGGGAGCAGGAAGGGGTGACCCTGAACAGCAGGTGTGCCATCTGCTCCTACCTGTGGCCGGGCCCTGCCTTGCCAGCCCTCGGCCCCATCCACCCCGAGCCTGGCCCCAACAGCTTCTCTTTGTTCCCCCCTCTCTTCTCCATCTTGACGAAGGCATTATATAGAATCATTTTAATCACTTTCAGATGTTAGAGCAGCATATTTTACTGGCATTTATCCATCGCTTTCCTCAGCAAGGCATGTTACTACTCTTATCATCTAAGGAAAAAAAAGACAAGGGAATTTCGGCCAAGCATTATTTTCATATTACTAGTATTTGCAGAGTAGATGTAGAACTATTTAAGTTTAGACCTTGGTTTGGTATTTTATTTTTTTTTAAGGGAAAAAAGATAAGGTAACCCCTACTTTTCCTGGTTTTGTATTTAACTAATATATTATTTCTTTAAGGTTACTCACTTCCCCTATTCCCTTCAAATACTTTGCATTCTCATTCGAAAATGAAAACAATCTGAGAGACAGGAAACGTGCAATATTATCAAGAGGGATGCCAGGGCTTGTTGGGATGGTGGCGGGAGACCCGGTGGCCCAGTCTGTCGATAGAGGGAGGCGGGGCTGCTGGGAGGCGTGGGAGCTGTGGAGCAGACAGGTGGTCCAGGTTATTGATCTTTTCCCCTCCTTGCCTGCCCCCATCCCCTGGCAGGGTGTCAGGGGTCCCCACCAGAGGGCAGCCCCTTTTTCTGGTGGGTGTCATCCACCCAGAAGAAAGGGATTCAGGGAAGTAGCATGGGGCTCTTGACCTCCCGGGGCCCCCGCCCTCAGAGCAGAGCAAGGACATCCAGGAACTGTTCCTTGTTTTCATTTCCGTTGTTTCCAGCCAGCTGCTCAGAAAGACCTGTCCTAAAAGTCACTCACCAGCCCTCGCTCACCCCAGTCTCCTGATGTTTGGGCCATGATCCTTTTGATGTATGTATGTTTGAGTCTTTCTAAAACTATGTAACCTCAGTTCAGTTTATGGGCAGGAACCCTAGATGTAACCAAATCCTTTTTGGGGGAGGTGGGTGCCTTCAGCCCTGCCATATCCCAGTGAGACACCAATTTCCACAAGCCTGCGGCTGGGCCTGGTGCTAACCTGGGCCACCCATTCATCTCAGTGACTGCAGCTGAGGAGTGAGCCCTGCCTCTGCTCAACACCCCAACAGTCAGTGCCCAGAGGGTCTCGGAGAAGCAGCTGAGGGGCCTACCCAGGTCTCTGCGGACAGAACTGCCCACAACAGGTACCAAGGCGGCGGCCTCCTAAGTTGGCACAGGCAGAGGAAGCAGCAGGGTGGGAAGTCTCTGGGTTCAAGCCCTTGGAGCTCGGCTCCTCGGCTCCAGGGACGGCCTTGCTGGTGTGTCCCCTCCACCTCCAGTACTGTATGCTTGCTGCTCCAACCCGTTTGGTGCATTCCTGTACAAATACGGATCTATGTGCCAAGTGGGACTGTGCCCCCCTGTGTGGGTCTCTCCCCTTGGAGCATCTACATCTATGTCCAACCTTTGAAAATCTTGACGCAGAGCTCTCTGGAAAAGAGAACCATCCACATAACTAAAGAATTAAGATTCCCTCACTTTTTTGAGGGCTGTGTGTTGAGAAAGTGTGTGTGTGCGTAAGTGTGCCTGTGTGCGTGCATGTGTGTAACTTCCCACTGTTACGAAGTAGGATGGGGTTAGAGAAAACCAGCGGGCACGCTGTCTCCACTGTACAGTCCTTGGCATTGGGCAGGCCCCACGGGACTCACAGCTTCGGGCAAGTGTGTGTTATTCACACACGTAATTCTGGCTGGAGAGTGCAATGTGTCTTTTTATTTTTTTGTAATTATTTTATTAAGTATTTAGTTGGAAACTTCACACTGGCATTAACAGATCTAGCAGAAGCAGCCTAGGCCATCGTCCCGGGCTCCCAAATAAAGTTGTGGAAAAGAGATGCCGCTGAGTGTGTTACGCGGCAGGCCGACTCCCACCCGTTGCCATGCATGTCATCACCGTGGGATGATGGCCCTCAGCTCTTGTTTCTGGGGATGGTCAGGGCGAGAACTTGCTCACGGTGAGCTCAGCAGACCTGCATGTGCATGTACATCAGCACCTGCCTAGACCTCGGGCCCTGTCACTTGATGGGACTAGTGTGAAGGGTTCCCCCCTTGACCTTACTGAGATTTCTGCCAAAATCATGATCCCTGTTTGGGGCAGCCTCTGTGGTTCTCATGCTCCGTGACCAGAGAAAGATGGGGTCAGTGACCTATTGCCTTATTTCAGGAAAAGCAGCCCCACTGATTTAAGCTTCCCTCCTGTTTTGTCCTGTGCACCTGGGCTCTCAGACAAGAAGTTGGGCACATTGGTGCTTATAGCCTGGGCAGGCCTGGTCCCAACCTGCCTTTAAGGTTGAGATTGCCATGCATCTTCCTGACCAATTCCTGCCTTTCTAATCTTGAGTTTGCACTTGACCTTGACAATCACCCACCCCAGTCCTAGAACTTAGTGGCCTTAGAGAGTGGGTCCCTGCGCTAAAGGTCCCTCCTTTGCATCCCCAAGTTTCATCCTGGCTAATGGGGCTGGACTTCAGGAGGCAAGAGAGAGAGGAATGAATTGTTTTAAAGCAAAAGGATGGATCGAGCATGTTGGAGACGAGCAAGAGGCATGTCGGCAAGATGAGTATGTGCATGTGTGGCTTATTTGGGTGTCTGGGACTGACCGTCCCTTCTCTGGGAAGGTGGCTTCCAGAAGAGGGTGTCTAGGCAGAAAGGGAAAAGTGTGAGAAGGCTGAGAGAGGGTTTGGAGTCTTGTCTTTATTAAAAAGAAGGAAGAAGTTGATTCTAAGTGTTTCAGGAAGAAGAGAGCAGGTAAGGAGAGAATTTAGTGATTCAACACACAAGGGTCCAGCCAGATCAGGTTGAAATAAGGCTGGAGGAGCAGCTGGCCAGAGGAAACGCTACTTGCTGTGCCACAAACTGGGTCCCTAGCAAGTTCTTAATGAACGGTCACTGATTTACTCAGTGGAGAGAGTAAGTCACCAGCAACTACTTGTATTTTTGAGTTTGGAGGCCCTGGATCCAAAATATTCATCCATCTCCCAGGTTCCCAGCTGGTTTTGCCCACCTCTTTTTGTCTAATACACAGCTAACCTCTCAAATTGTTTAAATCAAAGACTAGAGACCAAAAGGGTCATGTAGTTAGAGACCCGCCACCCCCAAATTGGAACCTCAGGATCCAGATACCATCAAGCTCATCTGGGAGGAAGGCAACCTTGTTTGTTCTTCTCAAGTGTCTCTGATGATACCTGTGGTTATTCAGTTGGTTGAGCCTGCCCACTGGTGTGACTTAGAAGACGGGGGGGGGGGGGGGGGGGGGGTTGTCGTTGTACAGTGCATACTCATCCATGGATATGCCCTTTCGTGTTTAGTGGCCTATGACCAAGACACACTGCTCTTAAGTGTTTATTTCAGAGGAAGAAGGGTAAACAGCCACCATTCTTGAATCTGCATCTTGTTCTCTGCAACAGGTTTTCTTTAAATGCAGGACACAGGATGGGAAAGGGTTTCGCTGCTAGTTACTGAGAGGTTCGCAGGAAGGTGACTGAGTGATGCACACGTGAGTGGCAGGTCCCGGAAGTGTGGGTTTGTGGACCGCATGGTTGCATGTGAACTGGATGCCTCAGCTCCAGAACTTTGGGGGATTTCTCGTGGTGTCCACTTAACCCCCCTCCCTCCCAGATCCTAGTAGGCTCGATGGGGGTCACGTTGTTTCCTCTTCCGCCCTCAGCAGAGAAACTGAAGGAAAGGACATTAAATTGAATGCAGTCAATTTGAGCACTAAAAAATTTCCAGGATCAATGGTGGTGCTAAACTATCTCCATGTTTCTATTATTTTTAATAGTGGGTTTTTTTTTTATTATTATTATTGTTCTCATCACAAAAATGCAGTGTCCTTGGGGAAGGGATCCAGCCTCTTGGCCTGTACCTTTCCAGGTGTCCTTTATCATTTTGACGGGACTCTTTGGTCTGCAGAAATACTATGACTTGGCATGCTTCTAGACTGTAAGATTTGGGTTGTTTTGTTTTGTATTTTGTTTATGTTTACATGCATCTTCTTGTATTTCCCTGAAAATTAAATAAAGTTTTTGACCTTTTTAACTCAATAGAATCACCTCTTCATTCTCCTTAATGCCAGAAAACCCGTCCAGCTGAATGGCAAAAGCATCCCCAATGCAGAATGAACTACAGGATCCATGTTCTCTGGGGACAGAGGGGTGGGGGAGGAGAAGCCTCCAACTCTCCCAACTTTTGCTGAACTCTAATAAACAGGGCTGGGCCATCCTGATGTAGGAAGCAGCCCATGGCTGTTCAAGGCCAGGCAGAGGCTGGGCAGAGGGTCCTCACTGTGTCTAGATCCCATCTGCCACCCCCAGCCTCTGCAGACAGCCAGACGTGCTCATCTAGAAAGTTTCTCTGAAGGTCTCAGGCCAGAGGCCTGTCTTTCCTGCCCAGCTGTGCCACCCATTTGGTGTAGGCCTCAGCACCCACCCACCAGAGCTCGGCTGGGGCGCAGGGGCGAGGGATGGGAGGCACAGCTGTTCCTGAGGAACTCAGCACTCTGCTGACCTGAGGACCTGTAATCCTTCCATTAGCCCCTAGGTGGCGCCACCACCACACAAGGGGTGCAGGCCAGGTATGGATTCAGCTCAGCCAACAGAAAGCTGAGCAGGCCTCATGGACTCCTGCTGCTGCCCCAACAAACACTGCTGCTCAACAGCCCAGAGACCTGAGGCTACCAAAGGGCATGGCTTCTCCCTTTCAACTTACAAGGCTCACCTGGCATTCTGGCCCCCACACTGCATGCACACCCCTCCCCACACACACACACACACACACACACACTGGCCCTCCCTCCCCAGCCCTCCACGCTGCACAACACAGCCCTGAGGCTGGAACAAATCACCTTTATTCACAATCACAGCGACCCAAGTTCACAAAGGCGGCAGTAACTACCCCACACTAACAGACGATGGATGGATGTTTGGATGGATGGATGGATGGATGGATGGATGGATGGGTGGGTGGCTTCCTCTCCCCAACCCTCAGGCCAGGCAGCCCCCGTACTTACCTCTGAAATGGATCCTTTGACTGGATAGGGCCCCCACCCCCACAGAAGGGGTCACCAGGGGTCAGAGACTGGGGAGACCCGTAGCAGAACTATGACTTCTCGAAGACCCACTGCAAGGCTGGGACAGACCCCACCCCACCCTCCACAGCCCCTCACCAAAGAACTAAGAGTTACACAAAGTCTTCCCCCTCCCCAAACAATCATTTTACAGAGGTGGCAGCTGAGGCGCAGAGGGGCTTGGACCTGGCCACAGGGATGTAAAAAGCCATCTGAGGGGGCAGAGGGCTGGGAGGCTGGGGGAGACTGGAGAGCTGGCCCCAGCCCATGGCCTATCAGGACAAGGCGAGCAGGGCAGAGATGACTGTAGCCTAAGAGCACGTGGGGGGCACTCCCTCACCCCAGAACCAGGAATAAGAACCCAGAGGTGCTGGGACCCTGTCCCTACCCCTCATCTTTCCTGGGGATGGAGTGCCTCCCCTAAGAACAGGCTCCCTGCCTCTCACTAGGCTCCCCAGCCCTGTTCCCTGGCCCAAGCTGGGCTCCCCTCCTGCAGACTTCCCAGAGCTCTCTCTGTCCTGTGGAGGGGGCACTCCTGGGCCTCCTGCCGTATTTGAGCTGACTGTCACCCTGCTCCAGCCCAAGGAGGAAGGGCACTTTGTGGCTCCGAGTGACCCCCCAGTCCAGAGAGTTAAGGAGGCTCAATTTGCCTCTAAAATGGGCACAGTTCACCAGGAGGCCTCCCAATTCAGCCCCTTTTTAAGGAGTTCTAACTCATGGTAAGCAGAGCTCGCTGTGGACTTTTAGCTGGAATCTGGGAAATGCTGCCCCTCTCAATCCACACACACCAGGGCAGCATTTCTAGGGGCCTGAAGGGTGGAAACTCACCCCCCACCCCACCCCCCAAAAAAATTACCCCACAAACCAAATAAATAAATAAATTACAATAAAGAAAAAAGCTGGTCTCACTCCAGGAAACCTCCCTGCCCCCAACCCAGGGCCCTGGCCTTGCCTGGGGACACGCCACACCTCTGAGCATCAGCTAGGCCCAGGACAGCGCTGAGGGAGGACAGGTCACAGAGAGGAGATGCAGACCTGCTCTTAGAGACCCTGACAGAAGACAGACCCTGCTCTCCAGCCAACCAAGGGGCGAGATGATTGGGGCAGAAAGGCTACAGCCAGGAAACGGCCCGCTGCATCTCTGCCGGGGCACGGGGCCAGATACTTAGACCCTGGAGCCTCCTGCGGCCAGTCTGGGAGAGGTACCCGCTGGCCTTCCTGCCCCTGGCTGCCAGGCCCAGGGGGCGGGAGGAGAGGGAGAAGGTGAGAGCAGGTCAGAGTAAGGCAGCAGCTCGGGGGCCACCTGCCCAGGCTGCTGCCGAGCTGGCCGTGCACCGCTCCAGGGCAGCTGGCAGAGGGAGCAAACTGATGTCCAGTCCACACTCCACTAGCCAAGCCACACGCCCTGGCCCAGGGCCACATCTGCCCAGTGGAAGGGACGCACTTTCTAATTCTCACAAAGGTGCCACACGGGCTAGAAGTCGGTCCCAGGTGGGGAGGGGTTAGAACAGGCGGAGCCCCCAGTTTAGTCCCTCAGCATGAAGGGAAGAGCTGAGCACAGAGAAGGGAAAGGCAGACAAAGTGCAGACTCCTCCCCTCCCCTCTGCCGGGCGATCTGCTTCTCCCCTCCTTCCCGCTCCCCCAAACCTGTATGCTACCCCTTTCCTCCCCAAACTTTGAGGGACCTCAGTTTCCCAAGTTTAATGGAGAAGGGAAGAGAGTTTCCAAAATGAGGAAGAGAAGGGCCCCGTGGCTTGCCCCTCTGCTGGCGCTGGGCTGCAGTCCGAGGAGGCGCGAGGGGTGGGCGCGCCGGGCTAGGAGCTCCGGTACGTCTTGATGATGTCCTTGATGGGGCGGCGGCAGATGGGGCAGCAGGCATGCAGAGCCTTCTTGAGGCGCAGGCCACAGGCATAGCAGAGGCACATGTGGCCACATGTGTAGATGACCGTGTCCACTGCGTGCTCATAGCAAATGGTGCACTCATCACTCCACTGGCCCGTGCCTGGGGTCACTGGCGACTCGGGCAAGCTCACCGGCGAGTTGGGGGCTGTCCCTGGAGGTGAGGGGACACCGGTCAAGGGAGACGTGGTCCAGTCCTGCCCCAGGTTCATGGGGAGGGAGCCCCCTGGCCTCTTGTCCCCCCTCCACTTATCAGATCTACCTGTTTACTCTGACACCCCAGCTTCCTGGACACAAGAGGGGAGAGGATGCGCCTTGGGCAGCACCTTGCTGGCCCCTCAGCTCCCAGACCAGGGGCCAGGGTGTCCATGAAGCAGGATTGGAGGAGGGGGCGGGGGAGGAAAAAAGGGGGCCCAAAATCTTTTAAGGCAGGCTCCGCCTGAGCTATCCTTTGGTGTTCCCTGTAAGCTAAAAATGTCCTTTGGAGAAAGGTACCCAGCTAGGGGACGGAAGGGGATATACCCCAGAAATGGCCATCCAACAAGGGTTCACTAGGCCACTCCCACTCCTCCAGGGCCCCAGCCCTGATACTGGAGCTGCATGCCTTTCCTGGCCAGGGTCTCGGGGTAGGAGGTCTGGCACAGACACCATCAGCCTGGAGGGGCCAGCCCACTTACCGCCAGCAGAGCTCCCCAGAGGTCCCGAGCTGCAGGTGCTGAGCAAGGGGTCAGAGAGGCGGCTGCCCAGGGCACTGGGCGAGGTTGGTGTGGAGGCAGGGGAGCAGGGAAGTGACGGGATGCCCCGCTCTGCCAGGATGGTGGAGCCTGTAGAAGGGGAGGGAGGCAAGGGATATACTAGCAACACAAAGGCCCACTGGGAGAAAGCTCGAGTCTCCCTCCCTCCAGTAGGTTCCCAGGAGATAAAGTGGGGGCCACAGTCTGAGCACACAGCCCAGCCACTGGGCTCAGGGCAGGATGCCACAGGCTGGGTCAGCATCCTGCCCCAGCTCTCTCTGGGGTTACATCAGCAATCTCCAAACAAGCCCCCTGCCTAGAAGCCCACCTCCACCCTTCCCCAGGCATCCTTCACCTGCAAGGTTTCCCCAGCCAGAGAACAAAGTCACCTTCCTCCCACCCAGAATGGCCCTTCCAGCCCTAGCCTCACCCTCATCACTGTCCCCAGATATCACCCACCTTCTCCTTTGCACTGGCACCTTTGAAATGCCCCTCACCATCTCCCACACTTGTCTGCCCTACATTCTTTCCCAGGCCCTCACACCTCTCCCTCTTCTACTTCTCACCTCCCCTTCCCTCCCTCCTCCCAAGTAGTCCTGAGGGCCCACCAGGTAGCATACGCTGTGTGTATGTGTATAAAACTGGGGACAAGACCCACAGAGCTCTTGCCCTCAAACAGCTAATGATCCAGGGAGCCTCTTGGAGCTGTCCTCAAACCCCCTCCTCCTGACACCCTTGACCCCCTCTCCCCAACCACATTACCCTCTTTAGCACTGACCAGCCACACACATCACATACAAGGGGACTAAACCACCAAATTCTGGGGTATTATTTGTCCTTTTTCCAGGAAGGCAGCTTTGTTTCCCCAGTTAAACCATGAGCCTCCTGTGAGCAAGTAATCTTATTCACCTGTGACTCTCTCACAGGCCCTAACACAATGGTTCCCAACCTTGGCTGCACGCTAGAATCACCTGGGAATCTTTTTAAAATCCTGATTTCTGGGCCTCATCCTCCGGAAATTCTGTTTCTTTGTTACTAATGTTGTGGCCCCACCCCATAACAAAGAAACAGAATTTCCGGAGGATGAGGCCCAGAAATCAGGATTTTAAAAAGATTCCCAGGTGATTCTAACGTGCAGCCAAGGCTGAGAACCACTGCCAGAATGCCCTACACACCAGCACTCGACGAGATCTCTAAAATCAGTTATTTGCTCTAACCCATTTAGTCACTGTTTCTAGCATATTCATTAGATATCCACAGGGTTTCTCTTACTATTGTGAATAGTTTTCAAGTTAATTATTACCTCCTTCAGAATAATACCTCCTATTTGTTTTTCTTGACTACT